AAGGGTTGCTGGACTTATTCGAATTGGCCAAGAAATGCGTCCAAATTTGATCTTTGATCCATAAATCACTTAAACGAATGAGTGTGTATTTTGCCTCAATTTGCACAGATTTGCATAAATTTTTGTTCTAATTCTGCATATTGGCAGATATCTTTTAGCATTTTTTATGCGTTATGCCTCAATTTGCTAAAATTTGCATAAATTTTTGTTCTAATTTTACATATTGGCAAATATCTTTTAGCATTTTGTATTCTCACAGTACCTTCGACCGCCGAGTGGTCGATCCAGCTACTCTCACTTCATTTTTTCCCGTTTTGATTGCCTCAGTGTGTTGAATTGGGTTTTTTTGGACATCTTGACCAGTGCTTGTTTTTTTTTGGCCAGTGGTCATCTCACCCACTTGTTTACTGAAATAATTAATTGCAGCCGTTAGAAGGCCGAATCGTAATTTTTTGAAAAAAAATGTTGCTTTTCGTAGCCTCTATACTGTTTTCGATGTAGGGAGCCATCGATAGCCTTGCCAACAAACAGTTGTTTTTGACGCGTGTTACGGCTTAGGGCGATTTCCGGGCACCCTTTTTTCTTATAGAGAGCGAGTGCGAAGGATTTTTTTGACTTCTGACCACTGGAGAGGAGGGTTTTTTAGTTCCGAAGGAAGTAGACCACGTTTATTTTGGTTCCCGCTGCAGCATCACAACAGTGAACCAAAGAAAGACAAGCAGAAGCTCCCCAGAACAGGGTGGTGTGAAGCAACAGCGACTATGGATACCGGAGATGAGGAAGAGTGCTTTTATACCCTGGAGATCATAGATCACAAAGATTGCGTAACTGTGCAAGGGGTAGGGTATCCAAAGATTGAACCGGGCGCCAGCGATGTTGCATCATTGTGATGCAATTGCTCCTTACGCAGTACAATAGATCATTTTGTGACAGTAACAAAACTTTTTCGAAATCTGGTAAACATCACATGATGCAGGATAAGGCTTGGTTGATACTGCACATATTTGTACACTCGCTATGAGAAACGGGCGCTAACTATGTATTAAAGGTTGAAATAGAAAAGGAAGGAAAGAAAACGAAGAAAAAGCGAATTAAGATGGGGAAGGGAACCAGGGAAATATTTGTAATAAGTAAGAAATGTTTCGGTCCATTAAGTCGTATACATTTCCTACCGTTACCACAATTGCACCTTGTCAGTACGACGATTGCGGTAACAAAATAATTTAAATGGTTTAGTGTGGTATAGAAATTATTTAAGATAAAAATAGACAAGAAAGAGAAGAAAAAGAAGAACGAAAGTAAGGAAATGAAGGAAACGGAAAAGTTATAAAATTATAAATTTTAAATTCTTATCTGTTCAGTACTTGTTGCATCCATGAATTGCTTAATTGAAATATCGATAAATTGAGTCGTTCTGTAATAATTACATCGGACAAGTTCCGTAATAAGTTATTCTTTTTTTTTGCAGGAAGATCGATGATAATGATGATGAATAATGGTAGCTCGGATATTTTGTTTGAGGAGGACGAGGGTGAAGTGCTGGGCTGGAAAGTGGTGAGCGGGGCCTATGTGCAACCGGATGGTGTGCTGCTCGTCTACAGCACTCAGCGTTTTGCCGAGAAGCACCTCAGAACCGCGATGGCTGGTGTGGTCACCGTTGATCCGAACATCAAGAAAGGAACGGTAATTTCCATCTCTGTGTGTGCCAAAGAGCTCATTGCCCGAAATCATAATTATATCCGTGTACTCATTGTCTGTCTGTTGTAACACTCAGAAATAGCCCGAGTGATAACATGCCCCAAAAAACAGCCACTTGCTGGCCGAACTTTCAATGGATCTTTCGTGCCTGTAAAGAACCTGGTGTGGTTAGTTCGCTGCATGGGAAAAGCAAAAGAGCATATCGATTAGCTTTTTTTTTTGAAGAAACTCGATTTTTTGTACAGCAGTCATTATTATTATTATATAGTCATTATTATTATTATTACAGCAGTCATTATTATCATTATGCGTTTTTGCTGTGCAGCGCTATAGCAGCGCTATAGCGCTGCTACAGCCAGCAAAAACG